CCTGCTAATAACCACCACTTCCTGGACAGAGTGAATGAAAACGTAAGGGTGCCTGCCCCTTTGATAACTAATTACTTTTTTTATTCTATTTGTGTGTGTTTACACTGTGTGTACACGTGTTTTTACACTGTGTGCACCTGTGGATGTGCCTACAAGCATGTGAAAGCCAGAGGTCATCAGACATCCTGTTCTCCCTCTTTACCCCCTTGAGACAGGGTCTCTCATTGAACATGGATCAGATGATCATTCCGAATGATCCTCCTGTCTCTATCCCCTACAAGGTCTGGCTTTTTACAAATGTGCTTGGGATTTGAACTCAGGTCTTGGTGCTTGGGCAGCAAGCACTTTTACCTGCTGAAGCATCTCTCCAGCCTTGCCCCCTTTAAAATGCACTTTTAGAATATGACTAGAATGCACAGATCTCTGCAGCTGTCTGTAAAATGAGGCCCTGTAACTTGCCTTGGACACAAACCCTCCACCTTTAGCAGGTAGCTGCTGCCTGCAACGTCATCAGGTGCTCTCATCGGGAGTCTCCTGATCATGATATTAACCAAGAAAAAAGAAACCTTTGGAAGTCAAATACAGGTAGACATTTTTGCTATTTTGATTTTTAACTCAGAATTAAGTTTGTATCTATGACCCTGAAATGAATCAGCAGCTTGACTCTTCTCCAAGAAATATGAAAATTTTAGAATTCTAAAAAGGCTTTTTGTTTGGGGATATGAATGGAAGCTAATTTCATATGGTCAGAAAGTAGCTACGGTCTCTCAGACGCATACACTGTGCACACATTCATGCAGGCACAGTGGATGTGTGTCTCTTCATATGGTCAGAAATGCAGCTGACTGTATTTGTCTAAGTATCCATCTGTTCCAGGCAGTGGGTGGCTTTGTCCATGTTCTGAAAATAATCCCAATAACCCAGGGCTTGTTCCCATGCCACAGGACTTGGCTGGTCTCCTCAGGGCACCAACTTTTGCCCAGCAGCCCCGCCTACCCCTCTTGGCTCCCTCTATATCATCCTCTTCTCCTCCATATGCCTTCTGTTTACTTTCCCAGCCTTGCTTGGCCTTGTTCCCTGTCACTCTGACCTTCCCTCTCTCCCAGGATCCCAAGTAATTTTAAGTCAGGGCCCAAGTCATCCTACCCAGCATGGCCCCTGGTTAACCTTTCAGGCAGCGGGCACACTGGGTACCATTGCATCGTCATGCTCGGCTGTTCACCCACACTGTGTAAGATCCAGTGCATTAGACAAGCAGAAGAGCGTGTGACAATCAAATGGGGCTCAGGTGCTGCTGTTTCTCCTCTGTCAGCATCTTCAATTTGCCTTCTCTAAACCTTCTGTTAATGAGGAACAAGTGATGGATAGCAGCTCCCAACTAAGCATGAAGGGATGACAGGGGCACAGGCTTAGGCAAAGAAACTGAAGCTCTTTTCAGAACGTGGCACTATCACCTGCACCCCAGGCTTCAGGTCCAGCTTCCATGTCAACTCCTCAGCACGCCCTCCCCGCCCACCCTCAAGTGGCCTCTCCAGTTACTCTGACATCATTCTGATCCTGACTCCTGGATATTACACAATCTGGGATAAGCTTCAGTGTCAACTCCTCAGCAAGCCTTCCTGCCATCCCCAACCCCCATGCAAGGTCTGTGCTGGCAGAAACTTTATCATGCATGTCTAGCTTACTGCTGTATCTCCAGTGTGTGCACAAAACTGTAAGTCCAGGCCAAATGAGTGAGTGTTTGGGAGAGTTTTGAGGGGATGAGAAAGCTGCAGGACACTCAAAATCATACCATACTGTTCTGATATACCCATGTGCTATGAGGCAGGGAACAGATTAGGGCTGAGCGGATTAAAGGACTTGGGGGAAGTAATGTGCATTCTTCAGGACAGCTACGAAATGCTCCCTAGCCGACTGGCAGACTCAGGAGGGCACTGACCTAGGCAGGAGGGAGTCAAGGGCACCAGCTTCGAGATCCAGAGCTAGACCCAAACACCCAATTGGTTGGGTAAACTTGGTCACCTATGTTCCCCCACAAGATACCTCCTTTGCTGGTGAAGCATGGGGACAGGATGAGGTGATATAAGACAGTATTTAGTAATTACCCATTTCTACTGTAGGAGAAAATCATTAGCACAGGGTTTGTCCTCTCAACAACGCCTTACAGTGCTTTTATGCCCTGATGGGCGACAAGTTACATGTTCTATGAGGTCACAGCTAGCATGTGGCTTGAGTCAAGTTTTGTGATTGTATCAAATCTTCATTTTGTTTAGGGGACCAAACCCAGGGCCTGGAGTATGCTGCACAAGTGACCTCTGACCTTCTATACCTCTGAGCTATAGTCTCAGTCTTCCAATCTTATTTTGGAACTGAGGCTCAGCTCATTTCTTCAGGGCAGCCTTGAACTCCTGTAGCCCAGGTTGGCACTAAACCTAGTTCCTTACCCTGGACTTAAACCTCAATGAGTTTTAAACGTATGTGTCTGTGAAGAAAGGCCTGCAGATTTGGGTGAGTTTTCCCAAGTTTATTGATGAGAAGGAACGCTTTCTGGCGAGAGCACCTGGCAGCTGGAACACATAGGTCACGCTGGTATTTTAGGATCTGCCATGTTTTGCATTTTGAGTTATGATGTACTTTGGAGCAAGACTCTCAATTTACTTTTTTGTGGTAGATTAGCAAAAATGGACATTGCTGCTTATAGTTTTTTATTCGAAGCTAATAAAAGAATTTTAGATTGGTATCTTGACAATGTGTTTAGAATAACATATCCTTAAAAATATAATCTTGGTATCTCACTCTCAAAGACTGGTGCTTATCCAAATGCCTGCACCTTCATTATGGTAAAAATGATTTTTAAACACGTGAGAACATTTTGAAATGAAAAGAGAGTGCCATAAAACAGACTATTAATGAGATGCTAAAGTGCAGGCTAACATTTAAAGACATTCTAGTAAACTTAAGTCCAAATTGAATAACAGATTCTCATCCCCTGAGCCCTTCCTCTGCCTATCTTTTCGAAATTCTTTCCAAAGTAGGCTCGGTCAGAAGGCTAAAACTTCAACCCAGGGAACAGAATGCTACAATGCTGGAGTGAAAAGCTTCCCCACGATGTTCTAAGTAAGAATACAGTTTTGCGTTGAGCCACTTTCTAGCTATCCTGGGACACATGTCACCAGCAGGCAGCAAGGTTGAACATCCTTGAATGATAATCTGTATCAAACTCACACCACAACCCCAGAGACTACAGTCCATACATATGACATATATGGAAAAAAAAGACATCTTTCCTGAACATGGCAACAAACAGACATGCTGGTGACTGAGGTAGCTGAGATAAGGTAAGTGATTTGGCACAGGGCTGTAGCTGTAGGTGTACTGAAGCCAGGAGCGTTCTTCCTCTGCCAGTTCACACAAAGGCTTCCTCTCAGCAGAGGTGTGAAGAGTCTGAGGAGCCACAGAGATGGAGGAACTCAACAGGGTTCTTTCCTTCCTCCCTTTTAATTCAGTCTGGGGACTCCAGCCCACCGGACAGTTCTATCCACACTCAGGGTAGGTCTTCTCTCTTCAGATAATAAACTCTGGAAATACCCATACTGATATACCCAGGAGTCGCTCATTGGTAATTCTTCTCATAGTCAAGTTGACAATAAAGAGTAAACTAAGAATATTTTCCAATGTGTTTTGCAGTTCTGGGAATCGAACCAAAGGCCTCAAACACACAGACTTACCACTAAGTCACATCTCAGCCAACTTCTTAGTATTCTTGTTTATGACACCAACTACCATCTTGTATATTTGAAAATTTTTTTTTAGGTCAACAAACTCGTTTACCATTACCAGAACGAGGACACTAACAGTCTTCTTATTCCAGACTTACCTAGAGAAACACCAATTCACCCAAATCAGAGGTGGGAAGTGGGAGGAAGGAAGAAACACACACATACACACACACCACACACACACACACACACACACACACACACACACACACGGCATCGCTGTATTTCTTTGCTCTCCTTCTCTTGTTTTAGTTACAGGTCTGAACTACACCATACCTAGCAAGAGGGCTTGGCACTGAAATTTTCAGATGGACGAGCAAACACTGAGCACTTGAGTGGGTAGGAGCTATGCCACATACAAATTGGATTAGGCACAAAAATAACAGGCACACGGTAAGACTCTTGGCTTGAGGAAGGGAGGAAGGGGAGTGGCTTGAACAAAGAAATATTATAGTGGTAGTAGTTTAATATCGTGGTCTCTATTGAATGTAAGAGTGCTTTACTTACTACACACACGCAGATCTACACTGGTGTTTTCAGAAGGATGCAGGCAATTCTAACTCAGGTCTTTACACAAGTGTGCTTGTCCACCATACTGTCTTCATAGCCCCAAGATGTGAGACTCTTAAAAGAGACTAGGACTGACTGACTACTGACTGACCTGTCTAGACAACGGTGGTGTGAGGAAGGAGTCGGGTCTAGAAGCCACGTGCCATTACTGCTCAACTTTGGAGCCTATATGAACTGATGAAAGGTGTCACTCTAGAAGCAGTCATGTCCTGTCCCCTCGACTAGCTTCTGGTGAATCTCAGGATTCATTTTACTTAAACTTTAAAACATGTTTTGAAAATTAGTCTTGAATTCAACCACTAACTAATAAATCTAATTTCATTTTGAGTGTCAAATTTGAGCTAAAGGTCTGACATCACAGAGGCCACCCTGAGGTCATATTGAAACGATGTGACATTACTTTTCGTTATCTCAGCATTAGCTGCTGTTATAGCCAATATCGCGTTAAGTACAATACCCAGTTCATTAAATCATCAATAGATCCGGTCACATGTCTGTGTGTACACATAAGTGATAAAAAGATTAAATTATTAAATAAGTTCACATAGTTTATAAGCAAAGAAATGACTTCTTAAAATGTCAAAGTGCTTCTTCTTTTTAAAAGATTCTTGGGTTACAAAATTTACACATTTTTGCACTCGGCAGAAAAATGTGCTTGCTTTGGCAGCACATATACTAAAACTGGAACGATACAAAGAAGATTAGCATGGCTCCTGCACAAGGATGACACGAAAAGAAAAGAAAAACAGAAAATAGAGAAAAAATAAGATTTAAACATTTTAAATATCCATAATTCAGCCTGGGGATTAGCTCAATGCCTACCATACACAAGGCTGGAAGTTTAATTTCCAGCATGGATAAAAAGAGTCATTATTTTCTTACTTTGTCACAACCCTTATCTTTTAAAATTTCTTTTAAGTAGCCAGGCGTGGTGGTGTAAGCCTGTAATTCTAGTACTTGGGAGTCAGGATGATTAGGAGTTCAAAGCCATCTCTGGCTACACTGTCAGTTCACAGTGGACCTGTGCAATAGAACTCATCTCAAAAAAAAAAAAAGGCAAACAAACAATGTTTTGTATGTATAATAGAACATTTTATGGATTTTCACGCACACTTTAAAATGGGTTTTCATACATGCATACACAGTTTCTACACATAAGTATACAATCAATGCATACATATACTGATCTACACATAGCCTCATAAGCAATACATGCATACAGTCTTCTACACATAACTACATAATCAATGCATATACATACATATATATATATCCTTTTACACATAACTACATAGGCAATTAATATATATAACCTTCTCCTCACATAGAGTTGAAGACTGTCCCTTCTCCTAAAGTCCCGCGCATAGGCAACCTCTGATTGTGACCTTATTTGCAAATCGGATCTTTTTTAAATGAATTAGTTAAGAGGATGATATTGGATTAGGATGGACCTAATGACTTTTAAATGATGGTCCAAGGAAAATGCACAGATGAAGGAGGAGGCAGGATAATCAGAGGGAGGGACTGAGTGTTGAAATTACAGACCACAGAACATATGGGGCCACCAGGATGGGAAGGGACAGGAAAGACACTTTCCTAGAGCCTGTGGAGGGAGCATGGCACTGCAAAGGCACAGTGCAGATCTAGCCTCACCAGTAGGAGAGGACGAAAGTCAAACCATCCAGTGTACAGAAGTCTGACGTGGAAACCTTCATGAGAACAGCGTTGGTAACACCCAGCCTGTTCCTCTTAACACCTTGTGAACATGTTTCATAGCTTCACAGATTGTGTTTATATTTAAGTGCGTAGGTATATCACAATAGACCCAATTCCAGAACCATATATTAATATTTAACTTAAAGAACACCTCTGGGGGCTGGAGAGATGACTCAGTGGTTAAAAGCACTTACCTGCTCTTCCAGAGGACCCCGGTTCAATTCCCAGCACCCACATGGCAGCTCACAACTGTCTGTAATCCTGTGTGGGGGATCTAGCATCCTCACACAGATATACTGTATGCAGGAAAAACACCAATGCACATAAAAAATAATAAATCTTAAAAACAACAACAAAAATGTCTCTATTCACTGTTCATGTTGTTCAATTATTTCAAGGCAACAAAAATGGTAGTAAGTTAAATCATGACTGTTCACATCAAAAGCTGTAAATGTTTTCAACGACGGTCTAAGGAAAACACACAGATGAAAAAACTAGTCCTGATTTTCTGAGAGTATGTTGTTTGTTGGAGATTCAAAGTGAAAGGAATCATCACAGTGGGTTCCCTACTTAACAGGGAAGGAAACAGACTATCTTAGTATTTAAATAAAAAGCCTGTCCACACCATAGTAAACTAGAGGATCACAGGATGTCCTGTCTGATAGTACTCAGCTTCCTCTCATAGAATAGACCCAATTACAGCAAAAGGATGTCTCTACTCTGTACTCATTGTTTACTGGCCATGGCCGGCTCAGTCCCAACTAGAACAAAGAGAACTGCCTTCTGCACACCGGGTGCGTGAGACCACTCTCCTCAAGGAAGGCTGCCAACATTTGGCCTTAAAGGTTTGGCAGTAAAAGGATAACTCACTAAGGAAATAAGTTATAATCACAAAATCTCCTTAGTAGGCCTAGGGCATTTGTGAAGTCACAGTGAACTTCTGTGCTGAAGTCTCATTAGACTGTGAAGCAGATGTGGGAATGTAACAGGGCGTGAATGGATTCTGACAGGAACCATGCGCACCCTCTCCGGGCAGCACCCACAGGCCCCTTCTCACTGCTTAGCCCCCAGTATCAACTAGAGGTAGCTCCCTCTAGGGGCTTAGAACTATGTTGAGAGCCAAAAAGACAACAAAGCTTCCAAACTAAGACAGACCAGGTGGCATGGGCCTGTAGTTCCATCTACTCAAGAGCTTGATGCAGTAGAGTCCCAAGTTCAAGGCCAGGCTGGGCAACTTACTGAGCTCTTGTCTCAAAAGCTAAAAATATCAGGCCTGAGTACTTACCCTGAAGACTCTAAGTCAACACACCACAGGGACATTTGCATATCAGTGTGCAGTAAGCACGATTTGCAGTGGTTAAACGCTGGAACGTAGGTGTCCCTCAACAACAACAAACTGGATAAAGAAACTGTCTATAAACACAACAGAATTATCTTCAGCCATAAAAAAGAATGATGTTTACATCATTTGAAAGAAAATGGATGTAACTAGTGGTAGCATTCTGTCTAAGCTCCACCCCACAGTTACCTGGCAACAAGCCCCATTCCACAATTACCTGGCAACAGCCAGGTATTCTCTGCCCCACAGTTACCTGGCAACAGCCAGGTAGGCCTGCCCACTATAAAAGGGGCTGCTTGTGCTCTTGCTCCCTTGCTTTTCCCTTTCCCCTTCTCTCCCCATTCCCTTCCCTGCTCTCTCTCCATGTGCTCATAGCCAACCTCTATTTCTCTGCTCCTCTTCTCTCTCTCTCTCTCTCTCTCTCTCTCTCTCTCTCTCTCTCTCTCTCTCTCTCTCTCTCTCTGCCTTTGTCTGCCTCTACTACCCTCTTAACTCCCTTCTCTATGCCCTTGTGTGGCTGGTCCCTCAGGGGGAAGGGATGCTTCAGCATGGGCCCGCAGAGGCACCCCCTTCCTCCATTCCTGACTATACCTCCAGAGAACATACCCCCATCTCTTTATCTCTTTATAAACACATCAGCTAGAGATAATCATACTGAATTAAGTCAGTCAGACAAAAATCAGGTGTGTCCAGATGACTGGAAAAGACAAGTCAGTGGCTTCCTACAGCCGTGACCCTTTAAGACAGTTCCTCATGTTGTGGTGACCTCCAACTATAAAATTATTTTTGTTGTTACTTCATAACTGTAATTTGCTACTGTTATGAATCTTAATGTAAATACTTTTAGAGACAGAGGTTTACTGAGGGGTTGCGACCCACAGGTTGAGAACCACTGGTCGATGGGTAAAGGGAAGACTAACAGGATGAAGTAACAGGGGTGAGAAGGGAAAGGCAGCAGATATGGAGGGAACATGTCCAAGCAGACTGTAAACGTGCATGGGAAAAGTTCAAGACATAACAGTACAAAACAAGCAAGCAATCCCTCAAACCAGATAGAATGGAGTAAGGGGTGGGTGTCTGCTGCAGAATTTCAAAAGAGGGGGCAGCCACTGTACAGTTCTCCAGGAAAGATTTTGCAAACAGGCAAATGGTTCCTAGTTAGCGTTAATGGAAATAGAAACCGTTTCCATGCACATTTTATTTTTAAACTTAATAGCAGAACCTTTGATCTCCTTTAAGAGGACCCACAACATAAAGGAGAGATTATCTACATAATTTCAGTATCCTCCAAAGAAATAAAAGGGCAGTCCATGTCTGTCGGGGTAGAAAAGAAAACTCAGCTCCCAAACCTAACACCTTCACATGACACTGAAAAAGTGGATTTAGAAGTTTTTCTAAGTTACCCTAAGTATTTGCTCAATTTCCTGCCTACTCATAGCACCATTGGATATGTGCAGACTGAGCATCCCTCATCCCCAAATCTGAGATCTCAAATGCTCCAAAGCCTAACATTTTGGGGCACTGATAGGATGTCTGAGTCCCAGAGTAGGGACACTCTAGCAGTGGGCTCTGAAGGCAGCCCAGATCTGAATATATGGGAAATGGGAAACAGTCGTGGTGCCAGGAATTCTGGGTGAGGGCATTTTAGCTTGCACTTATGAGCTGACAGGCAGTACTTCTGCAGTCTGTGGACAGAGGCCAGAAGCAGCCTTTCTTCTTGAAGGATCTATGTGCAGTGTAAAACACAAAACCCACCCGCACTAAAATCTAAACTGAGACTACATTTAAATACTTAAAACATACTTTGTGTTTTGTTCTGTTTCAAAACAGGATTTCTCTGTGTAGCCCTGGCTGTCCTGGAACTCCTTCAGTAGTCCAGGCTGGCCCCGAACTCTGAGATCCACTTGCCTTGGCCTCCTCAGTGCTGGGATTAAAGGTGTGTGCCACCACTGCCTGGCTTACAATATACTTTCATCCATCCTCTCGTATAATGACGTCTAAAAATGGGCTAAAGAGTTGGACATGTCATTAAAGAATGTACTCAAACAGTCAGTATGCACACAGAAAGATTTTCAACATCAGTCTCAACCAGACTCCTCTACACCCCTGTAAAGGATGCCCTAAACGAGACGGTAAAGGCTCTGATGGAGTGGGAGCTGGCACAACCACTCTTGAGTAACTGCTCTCAGGTTAAACCCTGGGGGCTCAGTTGGTAAAAGTACTTGCTGAGCAAGAACGAACATCAGCGTTCTCAATACCCACATAGAGGGCCAGGCGTAGTGGCATGGCACATGCTTTTAATCCCAGAGCTGGGGAGGTGGAGACAGGTGGATGCCTGGCACTCACTGGCTAGCCAGCATAGCCTACTTGGTGAGTTTCATGGCTAGTGAGAGACCCTGTCTTTAAAAAAACAAGTGGCAAGTGCCTCAGAAACACTTGAGGTTGTTCTCTGGTGCAGCGTTTTTCCCTTGCCCACCCCAAACAGTTAAACACAATCATTTCACTCCTAGGCATTCGAGAGAGACATGAAAACATGTTCCACAAAGATTACTACATGAATATTCACAGAAGCTTTACCCGTAACCACCAAACTGGAAATGCTAATGTTTAGCAACTGGTGAGTGGCTAAACAAAATATGGTATGCCACATGATGGAGTACTACTCAGTGGGAAAGAGGAAGGAGGTATACAACTGTAGATGCA